ATGACACGCGTGTGACACGCTTAGAGCACATGTGGGGATGTGGGGATGGGGGAGCCAGGTTTGGTTCTGTGGGTGCTGCCCCGAAAATTGGAGCCCAGCCGTATCCATGGGGTGTTTGACACGCTTAGGAACACATGTGACACGCTTGGGGACACGTGTGACATGCCATGACGTGTGTGACACGCTTAGAGCACATGTGGAGATGTGGGGATGGGGGAGCCAGGTTTGGTTGTGCAGGGGTTGCCCTGAAAATTGGAGCCCGGCTGCTTTCGTGGGGTGGGTGACACGCTTAGGAACACGTGTGACATGGCATGACATACGTGTGACACGCTAAGAGCACATGTGGAGATGTGGGGATGGGGGAGCCAGGTTTGGTTCTGTGGGTGTTGCCCCGAAAATTGGAGCCCAGCCGTATCCATGGGGTGTTTGACACACTTAGGAACACGTGTGACATGCTATGACACGCGTGTGACACGCTTAGAGCACATGTGGGGATGTGGGGATGTGGGAGCCAGGTTTGGTTCTGTGGGTGTTGCCCCAGAAACTGAACCCCAGCTGCATCCCTGTTTTGTGTGACACGCTTAGGAACACGTGTGACACGCTTGGGGACACGTGTGACATGCCATGACATGCATGTGACACGCTTAGGGAGCACATGGGACACGTGGGGATGTGAGGATTTGGGAGCCATGTTTGGTTGTGCAGGTGTTGCCCTGAAAATTGGATCCCAGCTGCATCTGTGTGGTGTGTGACACGCGTGTGACACACTTAGGGACACATGTGATACATGTGACATGCCTGGGGACACGTGACACGCTTAGGAGGCACATGGGAAGGTGGATGTATGGAACCCATGTTTGGTTGTGCGGGTGTAGCCCTGAAAATTGGGGCCCAGCTGCTTCTGTGCAGCGTGTGACACACATGTGACATGTGTGCGGACATGTGTGACACGCTTAGAGACGTGTGACACGCTAAGGGCACGCTTAGGGGACACATATGACATGGGGGGGGCGTGGACACGTGGGACCCACATTTGGTTCTGCGGGTGTTGCCCCATAATTGGAGCCCAGCTGCATCCATGTGGCGGGTGACACGCGTGTGACACGCTTGGGGACAGGCGTGACGTGCGTGTGACGCGTTGGTGACACGCGTGTGGTTGTCCCCAGGGTCAGTGCCAATGGAGGCAGCCGCCGGGACGCGAGATCTACCGCAAGAGCAACATCTCTGTGTACGAGGTGGACGGCAAAGACCACAAGGTGGGGACATGGGGGGACGGGGGGGGACGTGTGGGGACACGGAGGTGACACAGAGGTGACACAGAGGTGACACGTGGTGACACGGGGCGTCAGGTCCTCCACCTCAACCTCCTCTCATTGGCCAACGTCAACCAGAGGGGTCATAGAGATGGGAACACGGTGTTGTCATACGTGGACACGTGGTGACATGGAGGTGACACAGAGGTGACAAATGATGGCACAGAGGTGACACAGAGGTGACACAGAGGTGACACAGAGGTGACACAGGACGTCAGGTCCTCCACCTCAACCTCCTCCCATTGGCCAACGTCAACCAGAGGGGTCATGGAGATGGGAACACGGCGTTGTCATACGTGGACACGTGGTGACACGGCGGTGTGGTGACACGGTGGCGGTGTCCCATCCGTCCCCTCCCCCCCCTGCCCAGATCTACTGCCAGAACCTGTGCCTGCTGGCCAAGCTGTTCCTGGACCACAAGACGCTGTACTTCGACGTGGAGCCCTTCGTCTTCTACCTGCTGACCGAGGTGGACCGCCAGGGGGCGCACATTGTGGGCTACTTCTCCAAGGTGACGCCGGGGGGGGACGGCGGTGTGTCGTTGTGGTGCTGTCACCGTGTGGGGGTGGGTTGTTGTCACCATGTTGTGTTGGGTTGTGTTGTTGTCACCACGTTGGGTTGGGTTGTGTTGTTGTCACCATGTTGTGTTGTTGTCACCATGTTGTGTTGTTGTCACCATGTTGTGTTGTTGTCACCGTGTTGGGTTGGGTTGTGTTGTTGTCACCACGTTGTGTTGTTGTCACCACGTTGTGTTGTTGTCACCATGTTGTGTTGTTGTCACCATGTTGTGTTGTGTTGTCACCCCTGTTGTGTTGTTGTGTCATTGTTGTGTTGTTGTCACCCTGTTGTGTTGTTGTGTCATTGTTGTGTTGTTGTGTCATTGCGGTGCTGCTGTCCCCGTGTTCTGTTGTTGTGTTGTTGTGTTGTTGTGTTGTTGTGTTGTTGTGTTGTTGTGTCACTGCAGTGCTGTTGTCCCCCTGTTGTGCTGCTGTCCCCTTGTTGTGCTGTTGTCACCCTGTTGTGTTGTTGTGTCATTGCTGTGTCATTGTGTTGTTGTGTTGTCCCCCTGTTGTGTTGTTGTGTCACTGTTGTGTCATTGTGCCGCTGTCCCCCCAGGAGAAGGAGTCCCCAGATGGGAACAACGTCGCCTGCATCCTGACGCTGCCGCCCTACCAGCGCCGCGGATACGGGAAGTTCCTCATTGCCTTCAGTGAGCGGCTGGGGGACAATGGGGACATTGGGGACAATGGGGACAATGGGGACATTGGGGACATTGGGGACATTGGGGACATTGGGGGACATTGGGGACATTGGGAGACATTGGGGACATTGGGGACATTGGGGGACACTGGGGGACATTGGGGACATTGGGGACATTGGGGACATTGGGAGACATTGGGGACATTGGGGACATTGGGGACAATGGGGACATTGGGGACATTGGGGACATTGGGGACATTGGGAGACATTGGGGACATTGGGGACATTGGGGACAATGGGGACATTGGGGACATTGGGGACATTGGGGACATTGGGAGACATTGGGGACATTGGGGACATTGGGGACAATGGGGACATTGGGGACATTGGGGACAATGGGGGACATTGGGGACATTGGGGACATTGGGGACATTGGGGACAATGGGGACAATGGGGGACATTGGGGACATTGGGGACATTGGGGACAATGGGGACAATGGGGACAATGGGGACATTGGGGACATTGGGGACAATGGGGACATTGGGGGACATTGGGGACAATGGGGACATTGGGGACATTGGGGACAATGGGGACATTGGGGACAATGGGGGACATTGGGGGACATTGGGGACAATGGGGACAATGGGGGACATTTAGGGCCAATTTGAGGGCATTTGGGGGCATTTGGGGACAATTTGGGGTCAATTGGGGACATTTGGGACAATTTGGGGCCATCTGTGTCCATTTTTGGGTGTTTTGATGCCATTTGTGTCCATTTTTGGGTGCTTTGCTGCCATTTGTGTCCATTTTTGGGTGC